TGAAATGCAAGGGGAGAAGCAGAAGTGACAACATTGAGGAGTGGGGAGGAAGCGGAGGAGCCGTAGGTGGCGGAGGAGGAGAAGCAGGAGGAGGAGGAGCAGAAGAGGAGGATGATGATGAGGAGGAGGGCAGTGACCCGCTCCCCACGAGGCCCAGTCAGGCCTTAAGATGGACCCCGGCAGGCCCCCCATTGCCCTCGAATGTTGCTGCCTAGAACAGCAATACAGTCTGATCCGTAACAACATTGGCTCAGTCAGTTCAGGCAGACAAGCTCGGACACAGATCCGCCTGCTGCCCACATTTGTTCGCGTAACCTCCTGCGGAAAGTGCTTCTTCATGGTCATGCTGCGCGTGCCCGTCGTTGTCCTCCTGCTGGCCACAGCATGGGCACAGGAGCTCTCGCAGCAGGAGCTCGATCCGGTGCTCGCGCTGGACGACGAGTGCGCCTCCGGCGGCGGCGAGTCCTGCGGCGTGGAGCTGCTCCAGGCCCGTGCCTCGAAGGACGGCAAGGCGGAGCAGGCGAGCCCCACCGTGGAAGCGACCGCAGAGGGCGGCGCGGAGCTCCTGCAGTCCAACGCCAGCGCCAACGCGACGGCCAACGGATCTCAGCCGCCATGCCGCGGCATAGGCGGGTCCTGCTGGATTGACAACGACTGCTGCTCCGCGCGCTGCTCGAGAAGCCGCCGTTGCCAGGCGGTGCGCTAGCGGGTGCCCCGGGTGCTGCAGAAACAGCAGAGGTGGCACTGAGAATGTGTGTGTGTGTGGGGGCGATGATGATGATGATGATGATGATGATGATGATGATGATGATGATGATGATGATGATGATGATGATGATGATGATGATGATGATGATGATGGTGGTGGTGGTGGTGGTGATGATGATGATGACGATGCTGACGACGACGATGACGATGAGGATGATGATGATGCCGATGATGATGACGAGGATGATGATGATGATGATGATGATGATGATGATGATGATGATGATGATGATGATGCTTATGCTGAGGATGATGGTTTTGATGATGATGAAATTCATGTTGATGAGGATGATGATGTTGATGCTGCTGCTGCTGACCATGATAATAATGATGCTGATGATGATGGTAGGACGAGGAGGCCCAGGATGAGGATGATCGCGGTGGTGGCGAGGATGATGTTGATGCTGGTGACGATGTCGCTGAAGATGACGATGATGACGATGACGATGACGATGACGATGATGCTGATGATGATACTAACATGAATAGTAATTCTCATGATGATATGATGTCGAGTACGACGACGATGATGATGATTGCGATGACCATGATGATGATGACGTTGATGATGATGATGGCGATGCTGATGATGATGCTGATGTTGTTGATGATGCTGCTGATGACGATGCTGATGCTGATGATGATGCTGACGATGATGATGATGATGATGATAATGATGATGATGATGATGATGACGATGCTGACGACGACGATGCTGACGACGACGATGCCGATGATGATGATGATGATGATGATGATGATGATGATGATGACGATGATGATGGTGATGATGATGATGATGATGATGATGATGATGATGATGATGATGATGATGATGGTGATGATGTTGATGCTGATGCGGATGATTATGCTGATGATGATGCTTTTGAGGATAATGATGGTGATGATGTTGTTGTTCATGATGCTGGTGATGTTGATGCTGCTGCTGATGAGCATGATGATGCTGATGATGCGGATGATGATGATGAGGAGGAGGAGGAGGAGGAGGAGGAGGAGGAGGAGGAGGAGAGGTAGGAGGATGATGAGGGTGAGGATGATCGTGGTTGTGGTGGTGGCGACAATGGTGTTGATGTTGATTACGATGACGGTGACGATCACGATGGCGATGCCCATAACGAGGTTGTTGATGATGCTGATGATGGTGCTGATGACGATGACGACGATGCTGACGACGAGGAAAAGGAGGAGGTGGAGGACGCTGAGGATGCTAGTGGTGGTGGTGGTTGATGTGGTTGTGGCGACGATGATGGTGACGCCGATGGCGATCACGATGACGATGGCGATGCCAATGATTCTGCTGATGATGACGATGATGTTGATGATGATGCTGCTGATGATGATGTTGCTGATGATGATGACGATGCGCACGACGATGATGAGGATGCTGCTGCTGATGATGATGATGCTGATGACGACAATGACGACGAGGATGACGATGCCGATGATGATGACGATGCTGATGATGGTGGTGATGATGATTATGATGATGACGATGATGATGTTGATGCTGATAATACAGCTGAGGATTATGACGAGGATGATGCTGCTGCTGATGATGATTCTGATTACGATGGTGATGATGATGAGGAGGAGGAAGTGGAGGAGGAGGAGGAGGAGGAGGCGCAGGGTGCAGACAGATTGGAAAGGAGGGCTGGGGCGGAGGGTTTGAGATGAGTTGTTCGTACGAAGCATGAGGACGAGGGCGGGAGTGGTTGTGGAGCTTGGCGGGGTGGGGGTGTCTTTTGCAGTGGGCTGAGAGATCATTGCAGAGGGACCTTGGAACGTGTGTGTGTGTGTTTGTGTGTGTGTGTGTTTGTGTATGTATGTGTGCGTGTGCGTGTGCGTGTGCGTGTGCGTGTGCGTGTGCGTGTGCGTGTGCGTGTGCGTGTGCGCGTGCGCGTGCGCGTGCGCGTGCGCGTGCGCGTGCGCGTGCGCGTGCGCTTTGTGCGTGCGCTGTGCGAGTGGCGCGTTGCGCGTGCGCGTGCGCGTGCGCGTGCGCGTGGTGATTGTTGCGTGTTTGCGCGTGTGTGTTGTGTTGTATGTCGTGTCTTGTGTGATGTGTGTATGTCAGTTCAGTGCGCGAGTGTGGGTGTCGTTGTGTGTGTGTGTGTGCATATGTGTGCATAGTGTGTGTGTTTGTGTGCGGGAGTTTGTGTGGCGTGCGTGGTGCGTTTGAGTGAGCGCGTGCGAGCGCGGTGGGTGGGCCGTGTGTGTGTGTGTGTGTGTGTGTGTGTGTGTGGTGTGCAGTGTGATGTGCGAGTTGTGCGACGTGCGGGGGTGCAGTTGTCTCGCCTCGCGCGTGTGTGTGTGTGTGTGTGTGTATGTTTGTGTGCGCGTGCGCGCGTGTGTGTGTGTGTGTGTCTGTTTGTGTGTGTGTGTGTGTGTGTGCGTGCGTGCGTGCGTGCGTGTGTGTGTAGGTGCATGGGGAACCTGGATGGATGGGGCCATGGGAAATGGGGCGTGGGGAAGCAGTGTTACACCGTAGTTTAGAATCGGATATCGGAGAGGACTTTCAGATATATCCGTTCTTTGTTCGTGGGGATCGTGCAGTATTCCAATGCTATCCTGTAGAGGGAGTGGTATCCACAGTGCATACCAGGTGCTGACCTACATCGATGCTGTCCTGAGTGCTGGGGTTCGGGTGGCATTTCAAACGCTATCCTGAACGTTGGCAGGGTGGCCCGGGAGAGGAGGGGGGTCCTGGTAGGGAGGGGCCCAAGGGGCGAGGGAGTGGCAGATTGGGGGGGCTGGGGGGGGGGGAAGGGGAAGGGGGTGGGCGCCAGGATGTGTGTGTGTGTGTGTCTGTGTGTGCCGAGATGAGCGTGTGGTCGCGACGCGGTCGTTGTGGTCGGTGCGACCGTATGTATATTAAGTGGCCACTGGGCCTGTGGGGCGTGTGCCAGCACTGCCGGGACGTGCGCCGAGCAGGAAGGGGGGAGGAGCGGGGGGGGAGGAGGGAGGGGGGGACGGAGACGCGGGGCGCTGCATATGCAAGGCGAGGACCAGACACACAGAAGGGCAGGGAATAATATGGTGTACGTCGTAGGCTTGAGGGAAGGCAGCGCTCTCTCTCTCTCTCTCTCTCTATATATATAGACTTATGTATACATATACACATATATATATACACATCATATACACATACATTTAGGCACATACATTTACACATACTTGTAACATGCATGCATGCATACATGCAGGTGTATATGTATGCATGTATGTATGTATGTATGTATGTATGTATGTATGTATGTATGTATGTAGGTGTGTCTGTACGTATACTGTATGTATGTATGTATGTAGGTATGCAGGTCTGTAGGTATGTAGGTATGTAGGTCTGTAGGTATGTAGGTACGTAGGTAGGTGTGCATGTATGTATGTATGTATGTGTGTATGGGTGTAGGTGTGCATGCATTTCTGTATGTACGTATGAATGTATGTACGTATGCACGTATGTATGTATGCATGTAGGTAGCAGGTATGTATGTATGTATGTATGTATGTATGTATGTATGTATGTATGTATGTATATATATAGATTGCAGCCGCAGGACACGAACATAAAATCGATAAACCGATAAACCGATCAACCGATAAACTATTTCGGTTGATCGGTTTATCGGCAGATCGACCGATAAACCGATATGATTATATCGGTTTATCGGTCGATCTGCCGATAAACCGATCAACCACTAAACCGGCTCATCGCATGCGTGCCCGAATCTCAGCACAGCTTGGCTTTTATCAGTTTATCGGTTTATCGGTATATCGGATGTTTCAGTTTATCGGTTGATCGGTTGATCGGTTTATCGGCCCGGCGTTGTCGTGGTTGTCCAATGGGTAATCCTTCGAAATTCTCTCTCCTCTTCCTCCTAGTCCTCCCCTTCCTCTTCCTCCTAGTCCTCCTCCGCCTCCGCCTCCTCCTCCTCCTCCTCCTCCTCCTCC